TGAGTACTTGTCTGAGGGTTTATTAAGTTTATGAAATCATTGCAAGTTAAGTTTTCTGGGTTAATGCTTTTGTAAGTTGAGCTTAGTTGGCTTCTTTATTACATTAATCTGGTGTGCTATTAGTATTTTAGAGTTTGGAGATGTTACAACAGTATCACTGTAGCACTGTCATTGTTCTGCTCGGTGAACACCAGAAACGGTCTCCATTGTGAGACCTGTTGTTACTGTTTTTGGCATATGAAATACATCAAGGGTAGCTTGCAAGGCTTTGCCCGTGTGGGAGAGAAACTCTAGGTAGCTTGTTGGGCTCTCTGAGAGTGGCAGAGGAATTGAATCCGGGTCAGCTGCATGCAAGGCAAATGCCCTGCCCGCTGTGCTATGCTCCAGAAATTCGAGAATATTTAACTGGGCAGTCTGGCTAAAGGTATTGGGGGCAGCTGTTGGAGTATGAGTGAAGCTTGTGGGGGCTTTGGTAGGGTAGGATGGGAACTTGCCCTGCTCCCCTCTTGAGATTGCCCTGGGGGTCTCAGCCAGGAATGGATATCCAAGAAATCATTGTGGCTAGGTGATCTCTTTCGAGATTTATTTATGAGTCTCAGGAGCAAGACCGGTCGATGAGCTTACATGGCGGTGGTGGTGGTGGTGGGACATGGGTGTGGCTGCCAGAACTTCTGAAGTGTGACAAGGTAATGGGAGGTCGGGCAACTGACCTCCAAGAAAGCTGGGAGTTTTCAGCTTCCCAAACCCCCATGCACCTGAAATTTTTGTCAGGTTAGCATTTCTGTGAAACTCAGTTGTGAGGCCGTGGGGTCTGGCCTAAGGCATGGCAGCAGCTGTTGGGTTACGGGTGCAACTTCGGGGGCTTTGGAAAGGTGAGATCTGGCCCATGCCCCTCTGAGATCCCCCGCAATGTCTCAGCTGGAAATGGGTATCTGAGAAGTTTTTGTGATTGGTTAATCTCTTTTGAGATTTATTTATGTGTCTCTGGAATAGGCTGGTAGATCACTTTACATGACGGCAGTGGTGGGACATGGCTGCTGAGGCTTCCTAAAGCACAGGGAGGCGGCAAGAGGTCTCCCATCCAATCTCCCAAACTCTGAGAAGGCTCAGAGTTCTCAAAAGATCTGGTTCTTGGCTCAGTTATTTCACTTAAGGGAATTTATCCAAAGAAGGGAATTCCAGATGCACATAAACTATAGTGCTCATGAAATTTTGCATTACAAAGCAAAAACCTAAATCTGAAAAAATAGTCTTCCAATAAGTGTAAAGCCACCTTGAATTTACTTACTTTTTGATGCAGATACAATCAGACTTGCCTACAAACATTAATCTCTACTCTAGCTCAGTGACAGTTACATAATGGCCCCAAGCTAGAAACACTTTAATTTTCACAATTAGATTGGTTCAATAAAAAATACTACATCTACAGATAATATACTACACTGTCAATAAAATGATGATGAAGATGAATATTTAGTGGTTGAAGAACGATTTTTATGCTGTATGAACCAAATACAATTATAATTAAACCCAGCTCTTTATTTGGTGTTTACTGTGTATAATAGCCCAGTAGTAAGGGGCCTAGGAATAAATGCTAATAAAAAAGACAAAAATCCCCTCCAAAATCCCAAACCTTGACTTCTTCATGGAGCTTATATCCCTGTGAGGAGAGAAGCTTAATTACACAGCATGTTAGAAGATTAAAGGTGTGATTTTTTTTAAAAAATCAGTTAAAGGAAGATAGGAAATGTTCTCAAGGAGTTTTTGTTCCAGAGCAACAGAAGACTGTGAAGATTTGGTCATGTATCAAATGTCAATAAATGTGCTCCTAGGATTGTTATTTTTTCTTCACTTAATTATTTCATTTCCTCCTATTTTCAATCTTTAAAAATTTATTTTTCTTTCTGAGTCACACCTGGTGATGCTCAAGGGTTACTCCTGGCTTTGCTTTCGGGAATCACTCTTGGCGGTGCTCAGGTGACTATATGGGATTCTGGGACTTAAACCTGGGTCGACCACGTGCAAGCCAAATGACCTAACTGCTGTACTATCGCTTCAGCCCTCTAAAACATTTTTTACAAGTATAGCCCACCACGGCTTTCTTTTCACACTGACATTCCCACTGCTTACTCATGCTCTCTTCCCCTGCAACCTTGATTCTATTGTCAATATTCACTGTTTCATTGTAAATACTTTTAAAAATATTGTGACTTAAAAAATCATTGCCTATTACAAATATAAAATATATATGTAACTTTGAGCAAAAAGAGTTCTAAAATCAGTATGATATTTTGATAGCCAGATATAGAGCTAAGCCAATTATTTGGGGCATATAGGTGACTCTCTAGGACTGATCAAGCCTTGAGGACCTGATGATTCAATACTCAGGCCAGTCTGTGATGCTGCCTGAGCCCAGCAGCACCCATGGGACACCAGGGATTGTGTGGGGGCCTCACACATGCAAGGTTTGTTCTCCAGCTTTCTGAGGTATGTCCTGGGCCAGATTCAGCTCTGTTCATAAACAGAGAAAGGACTGGGTTGAATCTCCCATGGATGAATATTTTCAATCTTCCCCTAAAATATGGACTAATTTTGCCTTTATATTTGGGGTGATATGTAATATTAACTTTGCCCTTAAGTGACTAGGATCCCTTGTTTTGGGGAAGGCTTTTGAACACACCATATGGTGTTCAGGGCCTACACCTAGTGGTGCTTGGGGATCATATGCAGTACCAGGGGCCAAATTGTTAGATCTTTTATTTTATACTGGTCTGTCTCTAGAATAAGTTTGAATAAATTGATTTATTAACCACCAACAAAGGGAGTTTGAAAAGGATCATACCATTCAGAATTTTAGCATGAGTAGCAAGTAGCTTGGTATGTCAAAAATTATTTAGGAAAGTATTTGGGAAGTAATTATTAACAATAAAAATAATAAGCTACTATTTACTGTATATACTATTTATACGACAGCACAGCAGGTAGGGCGTTTGCCTTGCACGTAGCCGACCCAGGTTCAATTCTTCAGTCCCTCTCATAGAGCCTGGCAAGCTACCAAGAGTATCCTGTCTACACGGCAGAGCCTGGCAAGCTCCTCATGGCATATTCGATATGCCAAAAACAGTAACAAGTCTCACAATGGAGACATTACTGGTGCCCACTCGAGCAAATTGATCAACAATGGGAAGACAGTGCTACAGTGCTACTATTTACTGTATTCAGCAGGGTCCAGATACAATATTATGGGCTTTATATACTCATAAAAATCAACACAGAAATAAACACTGGGAGTTTGATATTCTCATTGTGTTTATTTTAATTTCTAAGCAAGTAAAGCTCAGAGATCATAAAGCTGGTAAGTGGCACATCAGGGCTACTTTAGCCAGGTCTATCTGTCAGAGCTCAAGTTGCAATTTGTTCTCAAGCATATACAAAATCAGGTGAAAACCTCTTCCACTTCCAGTTCTCCAGATTGATTTTTGTGAGTAGGTGGGAGAGAGTTCAGGTCTGGGGTCTCCAGCCAGGCATTCTCTTGGAAGGTTTCAATCAGGACTTTGGAAATGGATTTTTGAAAATGATTTTTTTTACTATTGCAGGAAGGATTTTCCTATATCTTAGCTTAAAAACTCATCAGGAAAAATGAACAGCAAATGTCTGCAGCGATAAGTTGTCAGCATCGGGGTGGGTGGTCAAGTGCTCCTTTGTCTTTATAGTAGAAGCAGCTGCTTTCCAGTGATGGGAGAAACAAATGCCTTGATGTCATTTACCCAAAATTGTCCCAGTGGTAATTTGATTTCTCAAATAAAGGACCCTCATACTTCTGATTTCCATTATACCATTTCCTTTGTTATTACATGGATCTGCCTATTTTGCCAGCCAGTAACATTGCAATAAAGTGTAGAAATTTTGTACACTAAGTTTAATACATACAACAGATATTTCTTCTAGTCTTTATAATTAAGGCACATAATAGCATACCTCACCGACTGGAGCTAATGTAAGTGCTTAGCACATTGGCCCATAATAGCGGCTCAGTAAATGTTAGCTGACATGAATAATAAATTCATATTAGGTGACCAACATAATTAGCATATCAAACATTAGCCTGAGCGTCACACCCTGCTTCCTTAGCTGAAATTACATTCTTTGTTGGCAATATGTGCTTCTGAGATGTTGAATAGTTTTATTCTCTTAAGTAGATAACTGCTTCCTCCCTGATTTGATTTATGCTCTAAGATGAGTGCAAGAAGTGAGTTTGTCCCTAGATGGAGGCATCAATTTTGTTCACCTCATTCATGTGGATTCAACATTAGTGAAGAAAATCTGAATGGACAAAAACTACTTTATGTTGCAGATTGCAAATTTACTCAGTTGAGAAGATAAAGTGTAGTTTCTTGAGTTTCCATAAATCTAGTTTCCCTCTAAATTAGCTTTTAAGACCTTCCAGGTTTAAAACACTCTGACCTAATTAATTTGTTAGGTAACATCATCTTATCTTTTTTTTTATTAGTGAAACACCATGAGGTACAGTTGTAGATTTACAATTTTTTGTGCTTGGGTTTCAATTATACAATGATCAGATACCCATCCCTCCACCAGTGCCCATTTTCCACCACCATGGATAATATCCCCCCCCCACACCCATCCCCCCATCCCCCCCGCCTCCGTGGCAGGGCAATCCCCTGTGTTCTCTCTCTCCTTTTGGGTGTTGTGGTCTGCAAAAGAGGCATTGAGTGGCAAACATGTTCAGTCCATAGTTCACTTTCGACATGCGTCTCCCCTCCTGGGAGGATCCTCCAAACATCCTTTATTTGGTGCTCCCTTCTCTATCTGAGCTGCCCTTTCCTCTAGAATGCCCGGCTGGCCACTAAGCTCTGGAGTAATCCTCCTGGTGCTGATCTCAGCTATTCTTGGGTATTAATCTCATATTTTGTTACTTTATATCCCCCAGATGAATGCAATCTTTCTATGTCTTTTTTTTTTCTATGTTGTTTTTTTTTATTTATATTCTTTTAATAGGGATACTAAAGTCCAACTACAGCCAACTGGTAAAGGTTTTTCTGGAAAAACAAAAACCAAAAAAACAAAAAAAACACAACACACACAAGAAAATCTGTTCCAGGCCTTTTTCCCTGAACCACGATCCTCTGCCCCTTCCGAGCACGCCCCTCGGAGGCCCGCCTGGGCTCTCTCCCGCCGCTCGCCTGCAGCCGGAGAATCACGTTCACTTCTGGGTCAGAGAAAAAGCGTTCTGGTCCATCAGTTCTCCGACTCGCTCCTGGAGGATGTTAACCAGCTCCGCTATTACGAAGACATGCGTGTCATCAATGTCCTGGATGATGAACTTCTTCCCCAGGGCATTGGACTCGTCCAAGTAGAGCAGAAACTGCTTCATGGCAGGGTCACATTCTATAAGCACTCCTTTCAAGACGTTGACCATCTTTCCCGGTGGGCCTCTCTTTCTGACTCATTTCGCTTAGCATGATACTTTCCATATTGTACCACTTGTATGTAAATTTCATGACTTCATCTTTTCTAACAGCTACATAGTACTCCATTATGTACATGTACCAAAGTTTCTTTAACCAGTCATCTGTTCTTGGGCATTCAGGTTTCTTCCAGTTTCTGGCTATTGTAAAGAGTGCTGCAATGTGTCGAAAGTAGACTATGGACTGAACATGTTTGCCACTCAATGCCTCTTTTGCAGACCACAACACCCAAAAGGAGAGAGAGAACACAGGGGATTGCCCTGCCACAGAGACAGGGGGGATGGGGGGATGGGGGTGGGAGGGATATTATCCATGGTGGTGGAAAATGGGCACTGGTGGAGGGATGGGTATCTGATCATTGTATAATTGAAACCAAAGCACAAAAAAATTGTAAATCTACAACTTTAAAAAAAATAAAATAAAATAAAGGGAAAAAAAAAAGAGTGCTGCAATGAACAAACAAGTGCAGATGTCACTTCGACTATACATTTTTGCCTCTCTGGGATATATTCCCAGGAGTGGCATTGTTGGGTCAAATGGGAGCTCAATTTCTAATTTTTTGAGAATCGTCCATACTGTTTTCCAAAAGGGCTGAACCAGTGGACATTCCCACCAACAGTGAAGGAGTGTCCCTTTCTTGCCACATCCGCGCCAGCATCGGTTGCTTTTGTTCTTTTGAATGTGGGCCAGTCTCTGGGGTGTGAGATGGTATCTCATTGTGGTTTTGATCTGCATCTCCCTGATGATTAATGATGTAGAGCATTTTCTCATGTGCTTTTTTTGCCATTCGGATTTCTTCTTTGAGAAAGTTTCTGTTCATTTCATTGCCCCATTTTTGGATGGGGTTGGATGTTTTCTTCTTGTGGAAAAAGCCACCATTTTTAATGGGCAGCACTGAAGCACTGTCCTCCCATTGTTCATGGATTAGCTCAAGCAAGCCCAGTAATGTCTCCATTGTGAGACCTGTTGATACTGTGTTTGGCATATCGAATGCGGCTTTTAAATAAGTATGCCTTCCCAATGAAGACATGCAGATGGTCCACCAACACACATAAAAATGCTCTATATGAGGTAAGTGGGAACCTGTGACTGAGATTTCTAAGCCCGCTTGGATAGCAACTGGGCCTCCTTCTCCTAGCTCCCCAGTTTTCCAGTAACTTGGCAGTTACACCCACAAACTGCCCCCAGAGCCATCTAATCTCATCAATGGCCAAGACTCAGAGACTATAAACTAAAGCTCCCCTAAGAGAGCACTACAGAAAGTCTTGACCCCGTGACAGGCTGTCTTCTCCAGGGCACTTTGAAGCGGGATGGGTTGAGTTTCCCTTTCTGCCCCAAGAAGAACTCCAGCAACTGAAAACCTCCTGAACCCAACCACCACCATGTTCAAAGCCACTCTCCACAGGCTCAGACAAGCCTCACCTAAGACGGACAAGATAAACCTCACCTAGGAGTGGGCTCACAGGAAAACCCAGGTATGTGGGAACCTGTGACTGAGATCTTCAAGACTTCTTGGATCTACTGGGCCTCCTCCCCCCAGTTCCCCAGTTTTCCAGTAGCTTGTCAGTCGCACTCACAAACTGGCTCCAGCACCATGTAATCCCATGTAATCTCATCAACGGTCAAGACCCAGAAACTATAAACTAAAGTTCCCAGAAGAGAATGATACAGAATGTCCTGGACATTATCTTCTATCCATAACAAGCAATACAAAACAAATTATCTAGCATTTTCCTTTCGGCAGGTTTGTGTGGTGGTGGAACTGGTGCCGAAACATCAAATGTAACCAATGTAGAGAGAGAGTACAGGGGAAATTGTCTGCTACAGAGGCAGGGGAAGGGTTGGAATGGGGGTGGGGGAGGAATACTGGGGATTTTGGTGGTGGAAAATGTGCACTGGTAAAGGGATAGGTGTTTGATGATTGTATGGCCAAAGCTCAAACATGAAAACTTTGTAACTGCATCTCATGGTGAATCAATAAAAAAGTGGGGAGGATGCTCTATATCACTTACTATTAGCAAATTTTTGTTTTGAAAGGGGACACCAAGCAGTGTTCAGAGCTTACTCATGGCTCTTCACTCAGAGTTCAATCCCAGTGGGGGTCAGGGAATCCCATGGGGTGTCGAGGATCAAACCTGGGTTTGTCTCATACAAAGCAAGCACCCTACCCATTATGCTATGATTCTGATCCCACTATTAGAGAAATTTTAATGAAAACTGCAATGAGCTATCATGTCACTCCAGTGAGAGTGGCCAATATCAGAATGATTGGAAATAACTTCTGACAAGTTTTAAAAAGGAAGGAAGGAGGAAAGGAGGGAAGGAAGGAGGGAGGGAGGGAAGGAATGAGGGAACGAATGAAGGAAGGGAGGAATGGAGGAAGGGAGGGAGGGAGGGAGGGAGGGAGGGAGGGAGGGAGGGAGGGAGGAAGGAAGAGAAACTTTAGCACACTGTTGGAATGAAGTCATTAAGGAAATAGCATGAAGATTCCATAAAAAGATAAAAACAGATGGGACATTAGATAATGTCCTATGGGTACGACATTTTTCCTTGGTTGTCTTGCTCATGGTCAACTCAGGTTTGATACCTCATACCTATATGGTCCCCAAGCTGGTCAGATGTGATCCCTGAGTACTTACAGAGCACCGAACTAGTAAGCCCTGAGAACAGACAGCTATGACCATCCCCCCGCCCTCCTCCCAAAAAATATAAGAGAAGAAATACCACTTGACTCACCAATTTCATTCCTCAGTATTACCCAGAAGATATGAAAATACCAAAAATAAATAAGTGAATAAAGAGACTATGGTATAGGCCGGAGTTCCACTGCACCCACCCAGACCTGGCCTTTCCTGTGCAAAGGTGGGTCCATCTTTGCAACCCGGTCCTATCCCATCCCGCGCTCCTCATCACCAGGACAGCTCCCTGAGGGCACTTGCTGGAGTTCTGCAGCACAGGCCCACCCAACCCCTGCCTTTCCTCTGCAAAAGCCTTTGGCCCCAGGTCTGTGGACTAGCAATCAGACAGACTGGGGGGGGGGGGGGGGGCCGTAACCTCCACTGTAGGGGGCGTGGCCTTCTCAAAAGAGGGCATGGACTTCTATGAGGCCAGCAGACGCTCACGTGGCCACAGTTATATTTCCCACTCCCAGCAATCTTGACTCATATCCCAATCTTTATTACCTAATTCAATGGAAAAAGTCCTGGCCGCCTTAAACACAATACGACAATAATTCACCAGCCTACTTCAATTCCAACAAAAGACCAGTGTACACAAGAAGCTGTACAAGCCCAATATAAAAGAGCACCTCCTCCAACACTTCAGTAGATGCCCGTCATAAGCCACAGAATAATGTCTTAGAGGAAGGACATATTGTAGAAGTGGAGAAGGGTGACCACAATTGACCGACCTTATTCAGAATATTTTCCAGCAATAAGAGGGAACAGCGCTAGTGAACTTGAAAGTTTTACCTGTATACAACCAAAACAGCTTGAGGAAACAGCAGAAATCACCAATACAAGGAAAGGATGAAGAAAAGAGTCCCGAACCCTCAACAGGGGTTACCCACAAATACTATCTCTCCAATAAAGAACTCAGAGATGAAATGCTGAGGACGTTCAAGGAACTCAAAGAATCAATGGAACAGACATCCAGAAAATTAAAAGAAGAAATAAAGAAACAGTGGAATGAATAGTCAAGAAAATACAGGAAGAAATGAGAGCAGAAATAAGAAAGCTACAAAAAGAAGTGTCACAAATAAAGGATTTGGTAGATTAAATTAAAAACTCAGTGGGTGCCTACACTACAGCTGAAGACAGAATTAGTGAGCTTGAAGATGAGCAGCAGAAATTGTACAGAAAACAACAATGGGAAAAGACTTCAAAATAGCTCTAAGGCAAATCAGAGAACTAGAGGATTACTCCAAAAGGAACAACATTAGAATCATTGGAGTACCAGAAGAACAGGAAGGCAACCCCAATAAAAAAGCCACAGTGAAAGAAGTCATTGCTGAAAAGCTAGCAGAGTAAGAGAATGCAGGCACCCAGATTCAAGGATCCAGAAGGGTGCCAGCTAAAAGAGACCCAAATAAAAACACTCCAAGGCATATCATAGTCAGAATGATGGATGCCATGGACAGAGACACAATACTACAAGCAGCAAGGTCAAAGAAGGAAATCACATACAAAGGAGCACCCCTTAGATTCACAGCAGATCTATCAGAGGAAACCCTCCAAGCCCAAATAAAATGGTAGGATATAGTGAAAAAAACTCAATGAAATGGACACCTCACCAAGAAAACTTTATCCAGCTAAACTCTCACTCAAACTCGATGGAATGATACACCATTTTATAAACAAACAACAGCTCAGGAAATTCATAGTCTCAAAACCAAACCTAAAAGAAGAACTAAACGGTCTCCTGTAATTCAAGAAGGAAAACAATCATAAGCACAACAACCCTTACAGAAAGATGGCACAAAACCCCATGACAATAATCTCTCTCAATGTCTGTGGTCTAGATGCAATCCAATCAAGAGACACAGAGTGGCAAAATGGATCCAGAAACGGAAATCAACATTCTGCTGCCTACAAGAAACTCATCTGAACAGTTAGAGCGGGGCTGGAGCAATAGCACAGAAGGTAGAGCATTTGCCTTGCATGCAGTCGACCTGGGTTCGATTCCCAGCATCCCATACGGTTTCCTGAGAACTACCAGGGGTAATTCCTGAATGCAAAACCAGGAGTAACTACTGTGCATCACCGGCTGTGACACAAAAAGCAAAGAAAAAAATGAACAGTCAGAGCAAACACAGACTCAAAGTTAAAGGATGGAAAACAATCCTGCAAGCAAACCACTCCCTCAAAAAAACTGGGGTGGCCAGCTAGTATCCGACATCATAGATTTCAGGTTGAAAAAGATTAGAAGGGACAGCAAAGGCCATTTTCTATTTAT